CACATTGATCTCATACATTCCATCATGTGCCCATGTGACTATATGAAGGAATCTGGATTTATCCCTCCTCATGTCTATTACCTTTTGGGCTTTCAGTATAAGAACTTCACTCCATTCTAAGGACATAGCCATCTTCTTTGAAAATCCTCCCATGAGCTTAACCCTTAGGCATTCAAGGAGTTTAATAAGAGGCTTCTCTTGAGCTTGTAATATCCACTGATTAAATGATTCAGAGATATTCGATGTCAGATGATTATATCTACACCCCTTAAAATGAGTGTTTGCCCAATATTTCAGAAGCTGTAACATGATCTAGTCATAGGCCTCAGCATTTGCACTCTTAATCTTTTCCATGTACTCATCGAAGTCTGATATATACAATGTACGTGCAGCTTTCCAATAAATCTTTGTGAGCGCCGAATTTCTATATGCCTTTTTGAAATTAACAGCAAGGTGTTTCATACAATAGCCTTGTTCACTGCTTGGAAATAGTGTTTCAATTGTGGCTTACAACCCTTTCTGACGATCTGAGATAATAATCAATGCTGGCAAACCAGGCCCCTCGAAAAATTGCTCATTCAGAAGCTCTAAGAACCAAGGCCAACTTAGTGTATTTTCACTCTAAACCATTGTATATGTTATAGGAACAATATTTTCATTCGCATTTATCCCAGCTGCAGCCAATAATATCCCTTTGTATCTTTCCTTCAAAAATGTCTCATCTAATCCTATTAGTGGCCTACAACCAAAAAGAAATCCATACAAATATGGACGATTGCCTATAAAGATACGCTCAAACCTATCATGATCATCTGTTTGAATGATGGTTAAGGTTCCAAGGTTAGTGACTCGGATCTTATGAAGATATTTAGCGAGATCTTCGTATGACTTCACGTGGGAACCCTCATTTATCCGTTATGCAACCTCTTTGCCCCGCCATGCTTGTTGGTACGATAACATGACACCGTGTTCACTTTGTATATCATTAACCACATCCCTAGATATAAGATTGGGCATATCACTCAATCGGTCTTTGATCTAGTTTGCCAACCAGCTGCTCTGAGCAAGTGGCTGATGAACCCTACTTATTCCCCCAGCACATGAGTACACGTTTATCAATTTCTTCACCCTGAAGAAGTTTGTTGTATTAGCCCTCCAACAACGCACTTGCCACGAACAACCATCTGCAGCACACTTTGCTCATATACGTCTCCTCTCGCTGTTTATGAATTTCATATTGAAGTTTTGTGATATGACATAATCAATAAGATGATTACGACATGCCTCTATGTCATCAAATTCTTGACCATCTTGAAGTACAACTTCGTAGCTATTAATCCTCATGGGGCTTTCTATCGGATCAATGTCATCCATATACCGTTCGATTTCTAATTCATGCTCATATTGTACGCCTATGCCAGCAGCACATTCACTGTGACGTACTTGCTTTGGTCGGGATATGCTGCAGAAAAAAAAAAACAAGACAAGTTTGAATTATCTTAACTCATAACAAAAAATTGACAAATAAGAAAATTAATGATTTTCATTGCAAACTTCTTACATGACCAATCTTGATGGATCATTATCGGGCATTGTTGGTGGTTGGTATTCAGACTTTTGATACATACATAATAATGGGAGAAACCGCTTCCATCATATTGGCAATGTCATCATCATCATCAGTACGTATCATATTATTTGATAACCCTGGGTCAATATACCTAATAGTCATGGTACTTTGGGGCATAATTTGATACTTTTGACAAGTGATCCTTGACTTATTCAAATGATGAGATTCCCTTAAAAACTATAACGTTTACGTCCCCACTGTCATAAAAAATACTTCCATTAGGTTTCCTATTGAAAAATCTACCAAAGTGTAAAACGATTTTCACTCTGTTCTCACTCATTATTTCTTCCAATACAATGGGGGTTTTGGGTTCTTAGGGTTTATGGGGTTTATAACAACTAGGACGTATTACGAGTACGAGTACCTAATACATTTTATAAGACACGGTAATCAAACTACCGTAAAAATGTTTTCTTGTATTAAGGTACAACGTGTATCGTAATATATTTTTACAGTATTACGATACTCTAAGTACCATAATATTTGTTTGTAATTACGGTACTATAAGTATAGTAATTCTATCATGACATTATGGTAGGAAGACTACCGTAAAAGGCATTTTTGTCCGAAAAATTGCAAAAATGGAGAAAAAAGGTGTAGGCCAGGTTTTGAAAAGTTGGGTGTTTTTTTTTCTAATTTTTTTAAAATATAGGTATATTAGCAATAATTTTCCAAAAGTTTATAGATAGCATATGCTCTAAACAATCAAATTTGAGCCTATCTCAAAATGTTCACTATAAAGGGTCGTTTTGCTGCCAAAATATCCTCAAATTGATCATCTCGAAATCAAGATGCATAGACATGGGAAAAAAAATGGATTTCAAGTTTTGAAAATAGTGTATATTGTACCATATTTTTGGACCTCCAATTTTCAAGATTTTCAAGTTTTTATAGATCTATCGATCTATACTATTTTCGAAGCTTTAAACTTTATAAATAAAAATGAAAATATATTTTAAAGCTATCGCAACGATTTCTAGTATTGAAACGACTTTTTTCAACACTATTTGAAGGTAGGCTCTAATTTGATTGTTTAAAGCCTAGGCTCTATACAAACCGCACCCTTTTAATAAAGGACCCGGTTTCTAAACAGCCCATGCCCGCATATGTAGAAATGCGGGCCTCTTAATAATCTATTTTTGAGATGGATTTTAAGACTTAATTTACAAGTATTTGCAATATCTAACTTGGAGATCATGAACATGAACAAATAAGTAAATTTTAGAGGCTAGAAATAATAATTCAAGTAATAAAACATTTGGATTGTTAATTTCCATTGTTTTTAGATGAAACACCTACTTGCACCCATCTTTAAGATGGGTGTTTACACTTTCTCGACTGCGTATGTAGAAATGCGGTCCAGCCTGCATGAAACAAGTTTCTTTTAATAAATTATCTAGACCATTTTTAAAAAGGATTGATGACTTGAATCGGGCACCCAAAAAATTGGTTTAGATCGGTGAATCGGGGGTCCGGATCGCCATTTTACTGTAGAGAATCATCGTTTTATTGTGCGAAACCGTCAAGCTCGGCCGTTGTCCTATATATACGCAAAATCGGAACGGGGTGACCGATTCTCAAGTCCGACCGAGCGATTCCGTGCCAACCCATCACTTTTTAAAATCACTGCTTCTGATACAAGGAGGTCACAATCATTATTAACTGTTAGATTTGAAATTGGGTGTTAATGATTAGTCATTGCTTGGACACAAAGTTTAATGATTAGTCATTGCTTGGACACAAAGTTCAAAATAAAATATTTCGAATGTTGTGACAAATTTTCATCCATTGGATTTCACATCCAATGGCCAAAATTAATTGTGACCTCCATGTACCAAAATAAATACTCTCATAGTATACAATCCCTTATTTGTATATTCTAAATCTACATAAAAACTTATTTATGTAAAGGCGGTAATGGGCTGAGCTCTAACCCTAGCCAGAATCCTCATTTGGCAGCTCTGGGACAAGCCGCCTAGACTTTCCTCTAGATTTAGTCCGGCCGAACCCCCACCACGCTTTCCCTAAATAATAAAATGCAAATGAGCACGTCTATGACACACTTGATCTATCACGTAAGGAAAGAAGGATTAGGGAATTTCCCTCACTCTTTCATGGCTTTCTATAACCATTTTTGTGGTGCTTTTTTATCTAAATATTTGGTAAGGAAAATTTAAGGGATTGTTTACTAGAAGACTATTTATCTTTAGAACAAATAGGTCACAAATAATTGAAGGCCTTAGATATCCAGTTGGACGGTTTAAGGTATGTCACGAAGTTCAAAAAAAAAATTGGGCTTTGAATTTAATCTCAAGTACTCTTTGTATACTTTTCCAAAATTTAAAAGGATTATATACTAGGGAATCATTTATATTTGTTACAATGAGATCACAATTATTCTTATCACTTAGCTATCAATTTGGCTTGGGAAATATCAAAATCTAGCTGACAAGATTAATTACAAACTCCTTGTACCAAAAGTAAATGGTTTATTCTATAAAAACCCATGTTGCCAAGACCCCACAACACTGGTCAGCTCGACTGTATACTAATGCTTTTACTAATCTAGTCTAAAGTAAAAACAAAGCTAATTAAATGCCTATCAAAATTGATTGATTTAAGCTAATCAAATGGGCTTTCTTGATCCGATGGACTGACAAACTAGGTTGCATTTTTTTACTAAGTATATTCTATGTTTTTCACCTATTCCTTCTATTTTTTCTTTCTATAATTCAGTCGAACCACTGCAACAAATACTAGACGGTAATTATTGGCCCCACTAAACGGTAATCAATACTAAAGCAAGCCATGATCACAGTAATAGCTGTAAAGGGACCATGTTGTTTATCACCGTTAAATCTATTCATCGGACCTTGATTAAGGAAAAGTAACCATAAGCAATCGACTTATACACCGCTACCCAATAAAACCCATCTCTTACTACACCCAATTATGGTGAGACGGCAGGTTAAGCTAGTATCCAGCGCCCATTCCAGAGGTCAACGTCAAAGCAAACTGCCTCAACAAAAGCGCCAAATGGATGGCCGAAAAAAAACTCAATAAGCCTCATTACAACTTTTTGAAAAATGAAATTTCATAATCATCATTTTCGAGCTTGAGATTACCAAATCCTAAAATTTTGAGAATGATTTCTCAACTAGTTAGCATTCTCTTGATTTTTTTTTCTTCAATTTCTAAATAACCATCAATCGCTACGAATGGGTAAAAATGTTGACAGTTCAATCTCTCATGGGTAATTTGTTAAATTTGTCCTTGGGAAAGCAAGGCCCAACACCCCAAAAAAGAGAAAAAATGAAACACCCGAGTCTACACCCCCAAAATAAGTAAAATAAAAAATAACAATAAAAAAGCATCGAAGTCCGCCGCAAAGCATTAATTTATATGCACATATATATTTCCATACATATGGAATTTTGGTTGGTTACAGAGAAAGAAAAAGGAAAAAAGTCCCTTCCTGTAAAATACTGGCCGGTGAATGATAAGAAACACGCGCATGTACCAAACTAACAACCCTTGCAAAACTGGAATTTCATCCACGCTAAGAAACCAGGAGGCATGGCCAGCCAAAATCTTTTCAAAACCGCCTGGCTGGCCCTAGAGTAAGAGGGGGAAAGAGAGCTAGCAGTTCCTGGCATCAGAACTCGCAGTTTCCTTGGGGGTCGACACAGTTTCGTGTGTGTGGTCACCGACATCATGGCCTTTCTGGCTCATTGAACGGGGTCTCATCCTCTGAACTTCCTCTCGAGTGTATATGTAAATCTTGCGCACCATGACGCAGAATTCCCTGTAGCGCCTCGAAGATAAAAAAGCTGTCAGCCCCAGAACCGAACCACATGCACATCAATAGCTCCCTCTCTCTCACACACACACACCCATGCACATCAATAGCTCAAAACCCAACTTTAAACAAGCACAAGCTTCTCTGTCAAACCTAAATCGCAATTTCACTCAAGGTTAAACCTCTTCAATCAAGCCCGATATCTCCATACAGGAAACAAAAGTATACACCAAAATAGGGAACTTACTGCCATGGGTCATCCCCAACCAGCATCATGTCTCCTTCATCATCAGTGTACACAACCTGCCACCCCTTCATGGGATCCATCAGCTCCCCCTCGAACCCAAACATGCGATCCAGTTCTGCCACCAGATCTTTATAACCCTTGAATTTTGTCAGGTCCACAGATCTCCCTAAAGCATTACCCTGCATGTGAACCTTCAAACCAATAACATTTATTAAAAGTATCACTACCTCAAGAGAGAACCAGACCATCATAACAAAACCATTCCCAAGAAAAATACATACACAAACATAAGTACTCGGAACATTAATTTCCACAATACATGGCATTAACCATCCACGCTAGCTAAAACTTTAGAAGAACATTTGAACACATGGGCTAAAGCAACATGTTTTAACTGAGTACCTATAGAACAAAAGAAGGCCACCATTTTTTACCGAACCGGAGAATTATAAAAAAGTGCCAAGACGAACAATCCATTTACCAAGCCAAAAAATTAAGACTCGTCTATTACCAAAAAAAACGCCCCAATCATCCCATAACACTAAGAAAAAAATAGCCATTCGTAATAAAAATAAGAGCTCATTCCTCATTCCACATATTTCTGCGTCAGCCATCAGCAGAAACAATCTATGCAATCGATCCATGTATCGTTATGATATTTCCCCCAAAATTTAATAGCAAAACACAAGTTTCTCTAGCCACCATTTTGTTAATCTTTTGTATTAAATTCTCTACACGGAT